TATTTAATTATCAATCATATATATATATATATATATATATATATATATGTACATACATATGTATGTATATATGTATATGTACATATATATGTATAAATCATAATTATTTATTTTAAATTTTATATGGATGCAAATGAATTTTTGTAACTTTTAGTTAAATTTTTTTTATTATCATCAAAATATTTTAAACAATTATTTAAAACAATTATTTGTAAAATATGATTTTAAATCTTGCAAAATATTGATTTGATAGAATGTAATTACATGATTTATACTTATTCAAATAATTAAAATGAATAGAAAAAATAATCTATAAGAAGTGTTAGGAGATTCATTAGTCCTGCAGAATAGAATAGAATATTAAATAATGCATAATATAATTATAAATGATATAAAATATTTATAAAATTCATAAAAATAATTAATTATCAACTTAAATATTATTCATATTTCTTAATGTATATATTCATCATTCGACAACATCAATTAACCCTAAAAGTATGATATTAAGTTCATATTTATTCCCTCATTTAAGCAACATCCGGTATCAAATAATTGTATCATAAAAACCATTATGTAATTAAATCTATTAAAATTTATTACAAAATATTGTATATTTTAAAAATATTAAATTAATCAATAAGATTAATTATAAAAATATATATTAAAATGACAAATTTCTTCATTTGTGCTGTATATATGCATGTATGTATATCTCGCAGAAACTGGTATTAACCGGTTTAAACTGTCCTGGAAATCTGCCTTTATGTTTCATCCAACAAAATTGTACACTACAGAAAAATTTATAATTATTTTGTGCTCGCGCGGCAAAAGTTTTTATACTGAGCTTTATATCATATATAGATGAAAAAGAAAGATAGAAAAAAATAAAATATGATCAAAAATGATCTTTAGCGTTGACATTTTTATTAAGTGTGATTAAAGATTTGATTTACATGCACCTTCGGTCAAGATAAATGGAAGAAAGACGGTAAGGATCAAACACATGTTATTCTTATTTAAGTCGAGTATGGTAAAAGTATCTGTATGAGAAGAAATACAAGACATTCTATGATATCTGAAATATAGTTGATTTATTATTCATGAAATGAACAAAGAAATGTAATAATTATGGATTCATTACGAAGTGCATATAAGTAAATCTAAATAAAAATATTCAATGCATAGATAACATTATGACATATGTATAAAAAAAAAATTTTATATGAAAAAAATTTTAATTTAAAAAATTCTTTCTTTATATATCAATATAACAACGATTTAAAAAATCATTTTTTTGTAAACCTATTTAAAGATTTCTTTTTCTTAGTAATAATAATATAATTAAAATATATTTTAATTCAGTTTTAAAATTGAAAGTTTCATCAAACAAATATGTTTTATACATTTCTGCGCGAATAATTTAAATTTCTGTTTACGCACGTGGACTGAATGCAAGATATTAAATCGTTCAATTTTTCTTAATAATACAATAGATATACATACATATATAGATGACAATATGCAATGGGAAAAGTTATAAGTATAATCTGGATAATAATTAAAATTAGAATAAAGAAATGAGATACAACTTTATTTATCTTTTAATTTCTGTCATATTGTTTAAATGTTAAAATTAAATTATCACAAATAAATTTTTCAAAAACTATTTTGAAAAATTTTATTATTGATAAATAATAAAAATTTTAAACGTCATATACTTTCACTATTGCAAAAAAAATATTGCACATATATTTTGCGTTTAAAAAATTGACTTACCTGATAAATTGGATCTATATATAATCGTGATCTTCGATAAAAGAAACTGCGCGTAACAATGCGATCGAATCACGTTGTATGCCTACTAATTTTTGAATTGGGATGCTGAACACGTTCCGATTTAGAGTACGCGAAAAGTCGTTCTTCCCGCGAGCGCAATCGTCGTACTATCGTTGCGCTGTTCTCGAGAAGTACCGGCTAACTCATGAGAACACAGCCCTTCGCATCATTCGGATGCAACATGTATGTGTCAGAAATCAACTATCTCTTTCCCTCTCCATTACCTTTTTCATTTCGTATTTTATCTCTTTTCCATTCTCTCTTTTTATCTTTCTCTGTGCCCCGCCATTCTTTTGCCCCCTTTCACCGAACTCCGGCTATACGTCCTCCCTCCTCGTTGTTTTTATTCCAATGCTATATAACTGGAGATCCTACTGTGAACGCGCGCGCACAACATACACGCGGTTTACGAAACCGCGTGTACTTTATTTACCTGAACAACATTCAAAACTTGAATGAATAGTTATACCATATATAGGAAACAATTATACATTCATCAATAACTGATAAATGTATGATAAATAAATTATAATTGTTACGAAACACTAGTTATTTCTGGGCAAATTATTAATTAAAATAAAAATATATAATATAATACATTTTTATAATATAATAATTTGATATGATTTAATATTTAAAATAAATTTATTATTTTATTATTCGATGCATAATTATTTAAGTTTTATTTAGTTTAATTACATATAATATATATATAAATCAATATTTTTTAATCTTAACGGATTGTTAATCACTTGTTTCCTTGTTGCAAGATATAAAAGGTAACGAAATTATATAATAAAAGTGAAACGAACTGAAACACAACATATGTCAAGCTATAAATGATGATTTAATTAATGTATAATTTACAAAAATTAGTGTGAGAATTACTTGACCGCTAGGGACGATGTTTGTATAATTAGATTGAGGTCAGTCACGTGATTGTTTTAATCATTTTGCCCCTCCATTCTCGAATATTCGGCTAAATTTGTTTTACTTTTTTGCCATTCAACAATATAAATGAAGAAATATAACATAATTTTAATCAATGTATTTTTATTTATATTTTACATTTATGTAATTTTTTTAAAATAATTGTAAGAAACAAAAAATACAAACATATTAATTACAAATATTTATTTAAGAACAGACAATACAGATATTATTTATTAAAAATAAGTGAGTCATGTAATACTTAGTCATAAAAATTATTCTTGGAAAATACTAATAAAATAATGTTGCAAGCAATATAATTAGAGAGCTGATTTCAAAAAATATTATATGTAATATAAATGCATTATATAATTCTGAATGATGTAAAAAATTGTACAAGATACTTAAACACAGAATTTAATATTTAATTACTAATATTCAAATTTCAAATATTTATGTAATTAATGAACTTAAAAACTTAAAACTTTTTTTTTATATTATTCTTAAACATAAGAAATGATTATCTTAAGTATGTAATACTAAAATACTTCATTAATTAGCATATCTATGCAAGGCACTTACAAAAATATGATAATTTTCTTTATTCTCAATTTCATGATAGAATAATTAATTCTATCTTAGAGCTAGGATTTTTAGAAAAAATCAAAATACTCACATGTTTTTTTTTTTTCAGTTGCATCAAACAAAATATCATAAAATATTATGATAAATCCAAACTATAAGTACTATTTAAATTGTTATTAAGAACTAAAGGATTCTATAGACATATGTACAGAACACTTCTGTTGTTTTTGGAATGATATATTAAAGAGAAAAATTAAGATAATGAATCATATTATTATTATTATTACCATAAGGAATTTAGAAGGATCAAAATTACTTTTTTCTTAAAAACAGTAAATTTTTAAATATGAATATATGTGAATTTGACCATCATATCAATATTGATTTTAGCAGTTAATGAGAGTTTGTTTTATAGTTGAATTGTTTCATGAATATTAACAATGATCTGAAACAGTATTTACAAATTGTTACAATGGAGTCAATATAATTAATTCTCTGGTGGTGGAGATGTTATTTTTCTTTTAAAGAGTAAAATATGCGGTTCTGAAAAAAACATTTATCAATTAAATAATATATATTTCCATTAAAAATTTTATTTCCAATTACAATTTAAAATAAAAAATAAAGAACAATAATAAATTTTGAATGCTATCAAAAAAATTCAGCAAATAGACATACCTGGCTTATGAATCATGTAATGAACCCAACCTTGACTCTGTTGGACACCCATAGCTCTCCATTCCTGTTCGGAGAGGAGATGAGTAGTTGGAACTGATTTAACCATTTCTTTTGGCAATACTACATGTCTAATAAAAAAATTAATGAATAATATATATATATATATATATATGTATGTATATTTATTATTAATGATTTTATTTGTATTAAATTTTTATATTTATATATATATTAGTTATAAAATGATAAAAATTACAATAATAGTTTTCCCAAAACAATTGAATAAATTATTCTCAATTAAAATTATATAATAAAAGTATTTGTAACATATTGTAAAATATTTTTATTAGATAATATCTTTATAATTAAAAATTTATTTAATTACTATATAATTATTATCATAAATATTATTTAATATTTTTTAACTTTATAAATACATTTCTTTAACTTCTAATTGCAATTCAATATCAATTAAAAATAAATAAGTTAGTAAAGTAACAAAAGAATATACCAGACGGCCATTTAAACGATACGTTACATCTGCGTCCAAAAATTGGACAAAGAAGTTATCAAATTATGTATGTAAAATATAGTAATACGAATTCTCTATTATCAACTATCTTAATTGAAAATATTAAAAAAATATAAGTATAAATATATATTCAAAGAGTGATATCTGCATATAGACTAAACAATTCAAAATGGCACAATTGACCAAAATCGAAATCTAAATGAGCCATTATATATTGCTATTATTTATACGAACCTATATTCATATTTATCATCGTAGTATTTATCCGAATAATACATCTTATGAGACATTTTGATTTACTTAAAAATGTCACAAATTCCTGAGGCAATTCACCACTAAGCACTATAAAATGCTACTATATATTTTGGAAAACCTTCCTTGAACAACGTACGCTCACACACAAATTTGAAAGTTTAACGGATGTAACATTAAGAAGAGTAGAAGATAGATACTCACTAGTCGTTGACAGTTAATTGAAGAAAGATTTTATAAAAAATAAAAATAATAATTAATTGATTTTCACAATTTTATTGTAATTTTATAAAAGTACTAAGTTATTTAATATTTATTGTATTTAATCGTGTTACATTAAATGCAAACGGAAATTTGTACGTAGTAAAACGGAATCAACATTTTAAATTCAGTAATGGCGTCTTATACCGTTACTGCATTATTATTTGTGAGGTTAAGCCTCAAATTAATAAAATAATAAAAATTATAATACAAGAAACTTTATAAGAAAATATAATAATTAAATCTTCGTTAAAAATGGAGAAATATTCTCATAGAAAAAATTGTGAAAAATTAAAGAAAGAAGATAAAAATCGATCTAAATATAAAGATAAGATTTCTCATAGTGCTAATGAAAATGATTATGATCGTCATTTTAAAAAATCAAAATCGAGACATAAATCTAAAAATTCAAAATATAAAAAATCTAAACATAGAAATTCCTCTGAATCATGCGAATTTCATAAAAAATCATCAAAAAATAAAAGAAAAAGGTAAATCTTCAAATGCGTTTTGAGGTTATAGAATTAAAAGTTTATTTTTTAATAAGTTTTCTTTTATTATAGATCATCATCGTCATCTTCATCCAGTTCGAGTGAGTTTAGCAGTTCATCATCATCTAATTCTTCATCAGATTCTACAAAACTTTTAGAAAAGCTTCAGAAACAACGTCAAAAACAAATTGAGGATAGAAAACGTCAAAAGGAATTAATGAAAGCTACAGAAACACCAGAAGAAAAAAGATTACGCCGTTTAAAAAAGAAAGAAGCTAAAGAACGAAAAAGAAAAGAAAGAATGGGCTGGGATAATGATTATTTACATTATACAAATACAGATAATCCATTTGGTGATGGAAATTTACTTTCTACTTTTGTTTGGTCTAAAAAACTTGAAAAAGAAGGTTTGCTTGGTGTAAGTAGAGAAGAATTAGAAATTAGAAATAGACATAAACAAGAAGAAAATAAAAGAGAATTAGAAAAAGTTAAGAAAAGAAGGCAAGAAAGAGAATTAGAAAGACAACAAAGAGAAGAAGAAATGACAATGCTACAAAGAGGAAAAGAAGCTGCTCAGTTGGAGCAATGGGCCAGACAAGAAGATCAATTTCATTTAGAACAAGCAAGATTAAGATCACGTATTAGAATACAAGATGGTCGTGCAAAACCAATTGATCTTCTTGCTAAATACATCAGTGCAGAAGAAGAAGTTGATGCTGTAGAAATGCATGAACCCTATACTTATTTACGTGGATTACATGTGAAAGATTTAGAGGATCTCATTGAGGATATTAAAGTTTATAAAGAATTAGAACGTGGTAAAAATTTAGATTATTGGAATGATATTACAGTAATTGTTGAAGATGAGTTACATAAATTGAGAAAATTAGAAAGATCAGAATATGAAGTTGGTAAATACTTTTATTTTTTGTATATAGTATTTATTATATATATAAAACATACAAAGAATTTAAAAAAAAATATTAATCTATTATATTTTTCCAGCTGTTGGTAGAAGAGAAGGAATACATGAATCAGTTGCTAAAGATGTAACTGCTATTTTTAAAGGAAAAACAGCAACACAATTAGAAGCCTTGCAGTTACAAATTGAAGTAAAAATTACAGGAAAACCTGAAGGTGTTGATATAGGATATTGGGAAAGTCTACTATCTCAACTTAAAGGTAAGCATTTAAGACTATATATATATTATAAATTATGTTATTTAATTTATATATACTTACATTAACTTACATAGTATTATTTATTTTTAGCGCATATGGCGAGAGCACGATTAAGAGATCGACATCAAGAAAATTTACGTAAAAAATTAGAAGTTTTAATTGCCGAACAAGGTGTAGCTAGAACGGAAAATGAAACCGAGAATTTACAGGCAATTAGTGAACAATCGGAAAAACAAGAAGAACCAGCTATCACTACAACTGTAGAAAAAAGTGAAGAAAGTCAATCAGAGTATGTATTCTTTCTTTTATATATTTATATATATAACTTTATAAAATTTATACAAATATTTTTTTGTAGTGATGATCAAGAGGTTAATAATGCAGCAGAAGATCTTTTATCAGAATCATTTTGTGAATATGAATCAGGAGGCTATTCTCCAAAATATATACCATATTCTCAACTTGAACCAGGAACATTAGTTACTTTGGAAGAGGATGATAATCAACGATTGGAATATGCAAGAAATCAAGTGCTCAGTACAGGTCGAAAAATCCAAAATGTTATGACTGCAGAAGAACAAGCAATGCATAGAGAAGCACGTAAAAATATGAATTCTGATGAAGCACAATTTAGTGTTGAATCATCTTTAGAAGCACAGATTTATCTTTGGTCTGACAAATATAGACCCAGAAAGCCAAGGTATTTCAATCGAGTTCATACGGGTTTTGAATGGAATAAATATAATCAAACCCATTATGATATGGATAATCCACCTCCGAAAATCGTTCAAGGTTACAAATTTAATATATTTTATCCAGATTTAATAGATAAAAATACAACTCCTGAATATTTTTTGGTAAGACATTATATTGTTTAGATTAATTTTATTTTGTAATTAATAATTTAAACGATTAATTAATAAAAATATTTTAATTTTTAGACACCTTGCGCAGATAATAAAGATTTTGCTATTTTACGGTTTCATGCAGGCCCGCCATATGAAGATATTGCATTTAAAATTGTTAATAGAGAATGGGAATATTCATATAAGCGCGGTTTTAGATGTCAATTTCACAATAACATTTTCCAACTATGGTTTCATTTTAAACGTTATCGATATCGACGATAATATATTGTTATTATGTATATTTTTATTGTAAATAGAAAATATTTAATTTTTATAATTATATTAGTCTAATATTTTTAATGAATGTGAATAGTACACAATTTTATGTATAAATGTATGAAAGTTTACTTTATTATATGAATTTATCCGTATTTTTGAATAATTATGTAACTAATATTTCATTATAAATGTTTCACAGTTTAATTTAATATTAATTAAAATTATATAAATATAAATTATATAAAATATAAATTATAATATAAAATATATCATATTAAAATTTTCAAAATATTTTTTCATGTATTTTTTAAAATAATTTTTTATATAATCTCATTTAAAATATCAATATCGTAACAATCTTTTGTATGACAACGAGAATGTATGTAAATGAAAGGGTATAGTTGTTGGATCGATTTTCGTAGCCACCTGTATTCTCACACAGTTAACCACAATGCAAAAGATAAAAAGCTATAACCAATGGCAAGGTAAACCGAAGCTTAGTATAAGCTGTTCTGTTATCGGCTATTTCGTTGACAAAGAATCGTGCATCTAAAATCTTATTTCTTTTACAAAAGCGCATGATTCAAATCGATACAATGAAGTTTGTCGATTAAAAAAAACAAAATAAGAGCTGTTTCAATGATCTCCATTAACCGGTCAATATAGAGGTGCATTTTTGTCAATTACTTAAAAAATGTTTATGTTGCATCTATATGTATTGTACCATGTTTAAAAAAGAAAGTGTATGTGTATTTGTGTCTTATTTTAGATATTCGTAACTTTTTCGTGTATAATATTATATTTATGATAATTATCACATTTATGTATTTATTGGTTGTGATCTTGTCGATCATTCAGAAAACATATGTACAAGTGTGAGTATTGTGATTGTATTTAAAATATTGTGATTTAGTTGTGATATTTATATAGATAAATATTCCATATATATTTCATTGGAATTATAATTAAATTTTCTTATGGAGATCGAAAAAAATTACGAAATAATTTAAGTGACATCATGAATATATTGTTGAAAGCTAAATTCAGTGAACTGACAGTGAAGAAGTACAATTTAAAAGTTGAAGGAAAATTCATTTACAATCACGGTATCATAAATGTCGGAGTATCAGAAATTTTTAATAATCGATTGAAAGAATAATGAAATTTAGGTGTGTTTTATTATAATTAATCATACATTTTATTCATTTTAAAACATGATAAATTTGTTAAAAAATTTATTATGAAATTTTAAATATCAATTTATATCTTGAAATAATAATATAAAATCGTTTTTATGTCAGTGTTATTAAAATAATATAAAATAAATATTTTTAGTTGTTTATAACGTTATCTATAAATTCAAAGTGATAAATCACGGAGTCAACCAAAATCATGAAATGGAAAAAAAGCTCGATGGAATTTTTATCTGAGAAAACTTTTCTGGTGATTAAGGATGACTTGGATATGTTGAAAAGTAAGTAGAGATTATATTTTTATTAAAAAAGAAAAAAAGAAAATAAATAAAAAATAATTTTTTTTATTTGTGTGTGTACGCGCGCGCGCGTACACATATATTTACACATTATACACACACATATATTATAAATTTAGTAATAATTTTAATCTATTATAATCTAGGTAATTTCCATATTTTATATCAAGTTAAAAAAAGTTCAAAAAAAATCATGATAGAATTATATGAAAGAAAATTAATAATTAATTAAAGATAAAATAATATAAAAACTTATATAAACTATAAGTTTATCATATTTAATCATTTATTTTATATTCTTTTTTTACATTTTAATTAAATTATAAAACGGAAAATAAGAAATATATATATATATAAATCATTTTCTAATGATTAATATTGAATATGTTTGTTCAAATGAAATTTATCTTGAATTTTTAAATTTTTTATTATTTTAATCTGTTCTATTCGTTAAGTTTAATAGATTTATAGATAATAATTTTTCTTATATTGTTTTTAAGAAGAAATTAGCACATATCTATTAACTGATTCCTTTTTATTAATTTTAAATATAATAAATAATATAAAATATATTGTAAAAATTAATTCAATGTTAATATTAGTTCATTAACTATTTAGATTAAAAAACAAGATTCTTAT